GTTGGGATAATTTTGATTCATTCACACTGGATGGCTCTTGTTGTACTGGCTATTGTCATTTTTTTGCTTGACAATCTAAGGGAAAAGTGCCCCTGACGAAACAGTCAGGTATTGCATGTTTTAAACATTCCCGGGGCACACCGGTGGAAGACCACTGCATCACAGCTTCACGCTGTGAGGATGGAGGCGTGGGAGTTGGCTTTGTGCAGTGCACAGGCTGGGTAGCCACACACGGCTGTGCTGACTGCAATGTAGCTTTTATCCTCACTAAAGACTGAACGTGCCCCCATAAGGTTCCTGTGTTGAAACCTACTCCCCAGGGGGATGGCAGTGGACATGGGGCCTTCGGGAGTGGATTAGGTCCTGAGGACGGGACTCTCACGAATGGGATTAGCGCTCTCATCAAAGAGACCCCAGGGAGCTCTTGCCTCTCCACCACTGAGAAAACAGCCATCCGTGAACCAGGAAGCAGGCTCTCCCCAGACACCGAATCGGCTGGCACCTTGATCTTGGACTTCCCAGCATCCAGACGTATGTGCAATAAGCGTCTGCTGTTTGTAAGCTACCCAGTCTGTGGTGTTCTGTTGTAGCAGCCTGAATGGGCCGAGACAATGCCATTAAAAAAACAAATAAACAAACAAACAAACAAAAGAACATGTCCCGGGGCCCAGTGAACTTAGATGGCTGCCAAGGACACCTGACTAGGATTAGCAGAAGCAGGGTCCATCACCTGGAGAGTCAGAGCTGCTCCTGCCCCTGGCTGCCTCTCAGTGTCTGGGGGCCGGTGGGGGGAATGGATTCAGGCAAATGAAAACAAGATGAGAAACTGCTGAAGGCTGCGAGGGATGGAACCTGAGATCGGGGAAGGAGCCAGGGGGGCCCAGAGGAGGACCAGATTTTGGGCAGGGCCGCGGCAGGGCAGTTGGACCCAGTGAGCAGGGTGGGGGATGGCACCTAAGAGCCATTAGGCCCCATCCTTTCCCAAGCGAGTCCGTCAGCCACATCCCAGCCACAGCTGCGCCTCATCCATACGCTGACGACTCACACCCGTAATTCATTCATAAGCGTTTATTTCCATCTAAGTCACCAAATGAATGCATTCGCTAATGGCAGTGCAGGCACTTCGCAGGGCACTGATCCACTTTGAGGGCTGGCAGGGGGAGGCTGGCTGGGCAGCGCGGACGCCATGTTTGAGGGAATTAAGTGCCCTGAGCGAGCAGTTGCTTCCTCCCCGTTTCCAAGAGGGGAGGTCAGCGTCGTCACCTGCAGCCCGCAGAGAGGGCTGGCCTGGGAGCTGTGCTTTCTGCAGCCGGGGGCCCATGTGTGGAAGCTCACGTGGAGGGGGCGATGACCATTATTGCAACAACACTCATAACAGCAGCTAGCATTCACTGAGCACTTTTTACCTTCCAGGGGCTGTGCTAAGTATCGCAGAGCAATCCGATCTTCTCTCTCGCAGGATTACGTTCTGAAGTCAGCATGTAAGAGGCAGAAACTTGTGTCTAGTAGAAATTCCCCTTGATGGGCCCTTAAAATTGCCCATGAAGTTCAGGGTATGTACACCTGAGCAGTGGTATTATGTATAAATATGAACAGTATGGTTTTGCCCACCTCCCAGCAGGGGTGGGTAAAGTCAGCCAATGTTTTAAATTTTTATTTCTCCCTCAGTCTCTCTTCTCCATCTCTCTCTTACTCCTCTTCTGCTCCCCCCATACCTTTTTTCCAAACACATAAAGTTGAATGCGCTAAGTTAAAAATGCATTTAATGTGACTCTACTCTCTCTCACCTGACAATGAAGAGCTATACTGTGACTGTCGTATTTTTACAGAGAAGGATACGAAGGCTCAGAGACATTAAGGCACATGCTTGCGGTTGCACAGCGCACAGGCTGTGGAGCAGGGATGTGAACCCCCAGGCAGGGGGACTCCGGAGCCAGGGAGCTGTCAGCTGGGAAGGCGGGAGGCCCCTCCATGGGCGCTGCCGTTCCTGCTGCAGTGGCCTCCTCTGGCCCCTTCGGCTGATTGTGCTTGGGAGTCAGACCCAACTAATGATCCAGCTATTACCAACTTGGGCCTCACTTTTAAAAATAAGTGTTTCAACCAGTCTGGCCCTGAGATTTAATAGCCGATATTGTATGCACATTAAACACCAAATGATTGTTAACATATTTATTGGAGCTTAACAGGCATCCAGTATATAAAAGATGACTGTCTTCTATGGCTGTCAGACCTCAATAAACATGTTTAATAATTAATTGGCATTAAGCAAACATAATTGTGTAATTCTAAATTAAGTGTTCTGTGGAGCGTCCCGCGAATAGAAAACCGCAGTGGTGTTTTATTACTTAAAGTTCAGGCTGTCAGTCTGGCTTTGCATGCATCGGGAAAAGAGCCCACTTTCAAAGCCATGTCGCAGGCCTCCTGTTGCCTCCCAGCACAGAAAGCAGAAGCCTGCCTGCTCCTGGACCCTTTGACTGGAGAGAAAAATTTTTTATTTGCTTATCTGTTTGTCTTTCGGTATATTCACTTGGGGTTCTGCAAGTCCCGAGCCAAAAGAATTTTCACATGTCAGTCAGCTTTCGGTTGAAGGAACCGGTGCCGCCGTAAATTCCACCCCACATTTGCCACGCCCAGCACCGTTGATCCTCGCCATTTACTGGGGTTATATCCTCCAACGTTGCTGCAAACCCTGAATTAGCGAATACTGAACTACCGCTCCTAGGGGAATCACAGGATTAGGTTTGTTGATCCTGAGAGAGAAGATATCTACCAAGAAGGGCTCCTGTGGCTAAGTGGGCTCAAATTCAAAAGCAGAGGCTAGCAGCCCTTTGCAGACAGGCGCGTCTCACACAAGCCACACTTGAGGGAGCAGCCTGCGCTAAACTGCCTGCTGCTTGCACCAAACTGCCTGCCTGCCCTGAGCCGGCCCCTGTAAAGGAGCTCCTGGAATCCTGTTTCTGCCAACAGAACTGAGGCTTTCCCTGTCTAATCAGATCTGCACAACTGTACTCCCTTTAGTGTCTTCACTGACCAATCAGAGCGTGCTTTTTGGGGACCAGGGTCGGGGACCTCCCTCTATCTGTCCACTCCCCTATGTATGGCTCAGGGAGAGAGAGAGCATTTTCTCACAGCTCTGCTGAATCACAGTTGAGCTATTTGCACGGAATGAAACTTCCTCCTTCACCACACCCCAAGTCTGGGATTCCTGTTGGCATCGCATTGGTGCCAACACTGGTTGACAGGTTCCTGGGAGCCTCTGGTCACAACATTGTGTCAATGTCAATACCTCACTTTGTTTTATGTGTGTTTTGTTCTGTTTAAAGTCACATTATTTCATGTGTATTGTTGATTCATTAACATTGAACTCACAGCCAAGTAGCACTGTAATTCACTCTTGAATGAAGCTTAGCTAACGCACATATTTCCTCTGTAAGACCCATCCCAGTCTTCTTGCACGGAGACACACTAGACAGCACTTCAGCATTATTCATGGGGGCCATTTTAAACAGCAAAACATCCAAAAAAAAAGCACAAAACTATGGGGGGAAATGCGGCACTAAATAGGCCGTGAAGAGGACACTTGTGTAGAGAGCTAAGCAAGAGGCCGAGTGTAGCCTGCTGCAGCCTCAGCTGGTTGCCAGGCTGGCAGACGATTCACATTTTTTTGCAACTCTGCACTCGTTTACCCACGTCCGTGCATGATTTGAAAGTGCCACGGGTGTTGATTTTGAGATTACAAATAAATTTGTGCACATTTGAAAATATAGAATCCTTGAGTAATGTAGCTCGACTGTAATCAGATTCCATAAAGCACAGCTGTCTGTTTACACCCTCTGCCAGGTCCTTATACAACAGAAGCCATTCCGCTGCCTGGAACATGGTCTGCCCCATCCCAGTGAGCCCTTGGCACATAGTAGGTGCATAATAAATACACATCGAGGTCAAATGAGTAGTTTTTAAATAAGGACCCCAACTCAATGTCATTTGACATGCTCTTTACTTTTCTCCAGTCATTATTTCTTTTCAAAGTTTGTTATTTCAATCCAGTTAATATTCTACCTCATCTTTTGATCTTCTTTATTTTCCATGTCCATGAGTTCTTTCGTGTTCTTTTTTCTTTCTTGCTTGATCCCTCTACACGTTCCCTACCCCCAAGCTGTCAGCCTGCTCTCCATCTATGAGTCTGTCTCTATTTTACTTCTTAGTTCAGTTTGTTCATTGCATTCCACATATAAATGAAATCGTATGGTATTTGTCTTTCTCTGACTGGCTTATTTCCTTTATATAAAAGTATTATGCTCTTTTCCTCCACTTAACATGGCATTCTACACACATCTGTGGGATTCCGTAGTTCACATCACCCTTATTTAAAACAGCTACAAACTAGCCCATTGATTGATTGCATTATAGTTTGCTAACAATTCCACTATTGTTAGAGGCTGTCTCTAGCTTTTTTACTGTTTCTGTAAGCAACAGTGGAATCTACTTTTTCTTTTTCCCTAAAGCTAGTCCCTGTCTGGGGTTTCTCTTAGCCTAGATTGTCAGAAGTAAAGTTACAGGATCATTAGGGTGGGCGGGACATTCGTAAGGCTCTTGGTGATACAGCCTCATTGTTAGGAGTGTGCAAGCATGCCCATCTCCGCATGTGTTACCGCGTTTTAAAGTTTTCACCACGTTTGAAGAAATGCAGTGTGGTTTTCCCCGCCATGGCTATGCTACACAGGACATCCACCGTCACATGCCCAGGCCGCATGCCAGGTACGCATGCACGTGTGTGTGTGTTTGAGTGTGTGCACATGTACAAAACACAATGCATTTGTTTTAAACTCATGATATGGGCCAGAAATATCTTTGTCTTGTGCTTTTTTCCAGCATTTCTTAAAAATATTTCAAAAACTTTCTGCCTAGTATGCTTGGGTATTTTTTTTAATCTATTCTCTCTCTCATTTTCCCTCTCTCTCTCTCCCTCTGTCTCTCTCTCCTACTAACGGAAAATGCAGCTCTTGAGGATGACAATTGCGAAACAGAGGCTCGGAGATGAAGAGATTGGTGTGCGGCACTTTGCAGCCCATGAGCGTGAAGACTTGGTCCAGCAGCTGGAGAGGGCGAAGGAACAGGTTACTGCTAACATCTGTGCGCAGGGAATGGGTTTGCACAGCTGGTCACAACCCAGGGCTGAGTGGGCCGTGTCCCTGTCGCCCAGAGGGTGTGGGGTGCCTGGGATGCGAGTCAGAGGAGGATGGAGGATACAAGCTGGAGGCTTTTTTTCCCTTGGTCCTGGCCTCGGTTCCCAAGCCGCCTCTGCGTTTCTCTGGCTTCCAGCAGGTCTGCTGTTACTTTCGGTGTCATTGTTCTGAACACAACAAGAAAGCGCCCCCTTGGCCAGGATAGACAAGGAGGGAACAAAATGTGACAAACTGGCCTTAATTTGCCAGTTTCCACTCAAATGCTGAGCAGTGCTTTTTAGGCAAAATCTCAACGGGTACAGAGTCCTAGTTAGGGAACAGCGGAGAGAGGCCAGACTTTGCCTTCCTTCTCTTGCTAATTGGGTTTGAAGAGCAGAACGAGATTTCTGGGTCTAGAGCGGATTGAAAAAGCACGTATTTATAAGACACTGCCTGCTGCTCCCAGCATTGGGCTCTGCCCTCTCCCAGCCTCTGGTTTTAGGGCATGCTGCTGCTGGTGAAGACTAACTGGTTCTGTTTCTCCGGGCTGGTGTCCCCTCCCACCTTAGGTATATTTAGTAAGTGTCTGTCAGGACGTCGCCCCCTTCCTTTTAGCTTTGATCGTATTCCAGTGAGTGGCTCTCATGGCTTTATAGCATGCGGGTGGCATTAATAAGCTCTCTAAAAGCCAGCCAGCCACGCAGAAGGCTCCATCTCTGGCCATAAAGCTGGTGTCGGAGGCACGTTTTGAGTAAGGGCACTTCCTCTGGTTTCAGATCGAGTCTCTGGAGCACGACCTGCAGGCGTCTGTGGATGAGCTCCAGGACGTGAAAGAAGAGCGGTCTTCTTACCAGGACAAAGTGGAGAGGCTCAACCAGGAGCTCAACCACATCCTGGGCGGCCACGAGAACCGCATCATCGACGTGGACGCCCTGTGTATGGAGAACAGGCAGGTGGCCCGGCCCAGGCCTGCGGTCCGTCGGGCGGCGTGCTGGCTCTTCCGCGGGCCTGCAGCCTGGGGGTTATTTGCAGCCCTATTCACACTTGAGAAAATTGCCTTACAGTGAAAGGAAAGTCACAACCCTCAAAACGATGATATTAATGTCACGTATTAGTAGTAAAAGTCAGGAAAGTAGTGCCACATGCCGACATGTGTACCCCTTTCTCCTTCTCCCTGATTTGGGCGAGAGGGTAGGAAACTGGGAGAAGCTGCTTGTTATTGCTATCAAGGAGAGAGAAAAGAATAAGAAAATAAATTGAGAAATTCCCTGAGCTGTTTCTTTTCCCCGAGGCGAATTTCAGTGTGTGTATGTGTCTAACTTAATGTTATGTCTGGTGTCGTCTCTTCCTGCCTTCCTTCCCAGTGGAATCACCTTAATGAGAGTTATGTGAAAGCCGTGTTGCTGTCCCTCAGGGAATCTCCGCAGAGGGCTCGTCTGAAGTGGGGTTTTTGTGATTTGGGCATATTTGACCTTGATCGCATTCATTTAAGCAGAGGTCACAAAGATACACTTTTCTGCCCCTCCCTTCCGTGGGAAGCAGGCATTACATGTAAAAGAGGGCTCCTCAGCCCGGTGCTTTCTTTTTCTCTCCTCTCCTATCCGAGTGTATGTTTTTCACTTCGTCCCCAAACACTTTCTGGTTGCATTTTTTTTTCCCCAGGTACCTTCAGGAGAGATTAAAGCAACTTCATGAAGAGGTCAACCTCCTGAAATCGAACATCACCAAATACAAGGTAGCAGAACCGTGACGACGAGCCAAGGATTCACTACGCGGTGTCTCTAAATGTCATCCTATTCCCATTCTCCTTTATGTGCCAGAGATATTTTAGTGCCTGCCCGCCCTCCCAGAGGGAGGCCCCTAAGAGCTTTAACTGAGGTGACTGGTGAGAATTAAACCTGAAACAACAAACACACACCCTCCTCTCCCCAGTTTTGTGAGGGCTCCTTCTCTTGTGGTCACCAGGACAGGGCACAGGGACAGCCCCCAGAACCTCGATGCGGTCGCCTCCCAGCCTCGGTCCACATGACCTGAGGCTTCTTCTCCAGCTCTCCTTTAAAGCATCCTGTCATCAGATACTATTTGTCTCGTAATGGGCCATAAGAAAATGGTTTCCGAGCGACGAAGAAACAAAGATTAGGAAATCACAATCCAGACCATAATGTTCACATCTCCCCGAAAGGACAGAATGTCTAAATTCTCCCCACTGTTACTTCCTCTCATTCCAGCACCATTAGTTTGATAATATCTATTTCTGCAGATGTTACTTGTGTTATAATTAGAAAGATCTCCTGGGTGTCTCTGCTTTGAAAATAGATTGATTTCTCTTCCTGAGGGTGAAGTTCTCCAGCAGTCTGGATGCTTGGGAGGGCCTTCTCATTTTCCTGGCATTTGACGTGGGCTTTTTTTTTTCTCAGAAGTCTCCACGCTGTTCCTCCTTTCCGTGTGTGGGGCCACACTTCAGTTTCTACCAGTCTATATATACACATGCAGCCAAAGAAGAAGGCAGCTTTTAAGGATGTATAATTAATACATAATTTCAAAATGTGTGCATGTGCATTCATTTACGAGCATTTATTCGGTCCTTCCATGTGCCAAGCACTGGCTGTACCATGCATATCAATTCTAACGGAAGCACCTCTTCTGGGAATGACATTTAGGTGGCACGTATGCCCTTCCCTTTCTTATGTGCATGGCAGGTGTCGCCGATCGATGGTGGCCCTTTTTCCAGTGGAGCCATAGAATCCTTCCAAATACCAGTAGTGACTTCTGGGCATCGGTGCATGAAAGTTAACCTGTTCTCCTCCCATGTCTGTTTGGAAGGGGTTTTCGTAACCAGTGACTTTGCACATTAGACTGAGTTCTTGCTTCAGATTTGGTGACGTCACAAGTACCCACTGAGTACCTTTTATGTTTGGGAGAGGGTAGTTGCTGTCATTAGGCCAGGCACCAGTTTCTTCTTAAATGCTTTACTGGGTCCATACAAATCCTAACCCTTTGCCGGGGACTCCGAATTTGAACAGGTGGGCCAGCTTTGGATTCCGCCAAGGGTTCTCGTCCGCTGAATTGGGAGGATGCATCTAACTGTAACTGGGTATTTTTCCATGATTGTCTCTTCTGACAGAGGTTTTTATTTTTCTCCCCATTCTACTTTAGAATGCTCTCGAGAGACGGAAAAACTCAAAAGGCCAGAGTAAATCCGGCAGCAGCGCGCTGACTGGAGTTCTCTCTGCAAAGCAAGGTAGGGGGCATTCTCCGGGGTCGGGGGCCGCTTGGCATCGCAGAATGCTGGGCTGCCAGTCCACATCCCGTTTTGTGGGCTGGGAACCGAGCTGATCCTTAGACCCTTCCACCTGCAGCGGGATTCCCTGGACAGCTTGATAGAATGCAGATTACTGCCCCCCACCCCGAGTCTCCAATTTAGTAGGTCTGGGGTTGGCCCCGAGAACAGGCATTTCTAAGAAGTTCCCAGGTGATGCTGATGCTGGTTTGGGGGCCCGGCTTTAAGAGCCTGAGCCTTAGAGGTTTTCCTAGTAACTGGCCCTTGTTTGTGTCCCTTCCCCTGCGCTGTGCTCTCCTTTCAAGAATATTGTCCCTCCTCTGATCACCAGTTTAGCATCTCCGAGTCCATGTTCAGCCTCATCGAATTGCCCTTTTTCGTGGCCTCCTTGGGCAGAACAGAAGTCTCATAGCTGCTGAAATCATTTCATCATAGGACACGTACCTTTTTCAAAGAAGCTTTTATTGATTGCAATTTTGTTCCCCCTCCTTGTCGATTCCGATGAAAAATAATGATCTCCCAGGAACAGTCCAGGAGAATAAATAGCAGAGAGCTTGCTTCTGACACTTACTCCTTGGGAATGCAGTGTTAAACGTCAGCCTCAGGTTGGGCATGCTCGACGGGCCTGCTCTTGGGGTGTCAGCAGCGCTGACAGTAACACTCAGATGGATGGCAGTCTTCATCCGAAGCAGGGGGGCTTAAAACCTGCTGACTCTCCAGCTTACCTACAACCAAGGCACTTTTCCAAGCAACTTCTTTTTATCCCACTAGGAAAGGACACTCTAGAATTGCTTTTTAAAAAGTAAACTACACTACTCTATAGAAATGGGAAGTAGCCCATTGACAGCACAGCATCTTTGAATGCTGAGATGTACTGTTATCACCACCATGGGGACTGCCAGCCATGCCCAAACACCACAGCGGACTGGTAAATCTGGACACCCTTCCTAGGTAACCATTTGGCAACCTCTGATGCAAACCCTTAAGTGGATATCCTTTGAGCCAGCAAGAAAGAACTATAGACATATGCAAACATTTTGCTTCAAGAAAATTCTTCCTACATTAGTTATAATTTTAAAAAAAGCCCTTAGAAACAACATATTTATTATTATATATCTATGCACAAACTACTAAGAAGCTGTTGACATTTTGTTTTAGGACACAGTCAGGATGTGGCATTAGGTGAAGTGAAACAAGCAGAGCTTTTCCCATTTTGAAGAGAGGTGTGTGGGTTTGTATATCTATATACAGACATAGGAAACGGTGTTCAGAAACCCACAGTGATTCGTACTGTCCCCTTCTCTCCCGTCTGGTGGGAGTGCAGGTGGCCCTTGTCTTTTTGTGGAACCTGTTAGTTTATCTACCCTTTCTAAAAACACGCTATACAAAATGTATTTTGTAGTTTAAATAATTTCCGAAATTCTCTTGCCCACGGAAAGCACCTCACCCTGGGAAATTCTGTTGTAAAGGAAGGAGCTCAGGACTAGAGTCATCACCATTAGTGTGGCTGTGAGACCTCCAACTGATGTTTTTAATTCATCTGCACCTTGCTTTCCTGTCCACGAAATCGGGATAAATGCCACTTTCCAGGCGGATTTCTTTTGGTTCATTTTAAGTCTCAAATGAGTCAGTATAAAACTTTTGTTGAATGTCTAAAATGCTAGACAAATACAATAATTATTCTCTTACAAATTGCTAACAAAAGTCCATGAGAACTTCTTCCTTTCTGCTTACCCCACACACTGAATTTTATTTTGTTGTACGTTTACCCTCTGAAAGGGACTCTTCAAAGCACCATAGAAGCATTTAGAAGCTGGGCACTCATCACCCCCCAGACCGAGCTGACCTTGGTTTGCACTCCGGTGTCCCGCGAGAGCTTCAGACTGAGTTGTGAATGTCATTTCCCACCTAGTTCAGGATCTGTTGTCGGAGGATCACGGGTGCAGTCTCCCGGCCACCCCGCAGTCCATTTCTGATCTGAAGTCTCTGGCCACAGCCCTATTGGAGACGATCCACGAGAAGAACATGGTCATCCAGCACCAGAGGCAGACCAACAAGTAGGTGGCGGGACCTTTCGGTGGGGGGTGGGCAGGAGGGGTGTGGGCAGGAGGGGTGTGGGGCGATGGCAGCTGGTGGGGCTACAGGCCATAAGTTAGGCAGGGGAGAAACCTCAGATCTGAAAGGAAACTTCTTGGACTAGAACTATGCTTCTGCATCATGACAGCACCTTGGTGCTCAGTTAGGTCAAGCCCACGAATAATACTGGTTACTGCTTATTGAATGTTTACCCTGAACTCCTCACTGACTAATGCCTGTTAAGTGGCAATTTTGATCGCACTTGCCTGGGTTACTCCGCCAATCAGCCCTCCAGGTCTTCTTTAGGGGAGGCACCTTGGAAGGCATGTGCTCCCATAGCCTGGCTTTGAGGGGCTCTGAAGGGTAGGAACAGTGAGGCATCCCCTCAAAGGCAGCTGAGCCTGAAAGGGACTCTCATGTCACTCTTCAGAATCAGCAAAAAAGACGGTGAAAAGGAACAATAACGTCCTATTTGGTTTTTATAAACATATTGACTGTACTGGACAAAATCAAGCAAGTTAAGGTGGCCATTGGAAAGTACAGAAGCAAAACTGGAAGCGTTCAGAGAACGGTGAATAAACAATCAGTTAAAGCAGCAAACACTGCGCACGGGGCCGGCTCATGAGCTAGCACCTGTGGCTGCTCAGCACCCTGTGCTCAGAAGCTCCCTGCATTTGGTCTGATGCTCCTGTCTCCATGTTAAAAGTCTGAATTATTTTTTTAGCAGGCGGGCTGCACATTGTCATTTTGCACTGGGCCCTGCCGACGACGTAGCTGATGCCAGAACCACAATGAAAGTGTGGAGGAAGTGAGCAGGCAACAAAAGGCTGGGCTTCCAGCAAGAAGGGGAGGGACCAGGGAATCGGGGCCCTGGAAAATGATTGAGAGTATTGTAAAAACAAAATAGAAAAAAGAGGAGATGGAAGTGAAGGGAAGATCGCGCAGGAGATTAAGATATATATAAAAGAAGGCAGAGAGCAGTGGAGGGAGTCTGGGCAATCTCAAAGAGATGACAAGGGTAATTTATTGAAAGGAGTTTCAAAAGTTCTTTTAAAAGAAACCTTAACCAAGGAGTGAAACAGCCAGAGGCTGAAATGCAGATACTAATAAGGGAAGGGGGAAGGAATGGGAATCTTCCCAGAACAGGCGTGGAGGACTGTTTTTTTCAGGCAGGATCCCTGCAGTGTTCTGCACTGCTGTTGATCTGACATACCTCGCCCCCCTGCCCCCCCACCCCACAGGCTGGGTTCCTGCTGGGCCCCTCACCTGTCCTCCTGCGGCCATGTGCATTCCCAGGGTCCCTGGGCTCGCGCCTCTTTTGAGAAAGTCTGACACTTTCATTTTGCCAGGTTTATCTTTGCTTTAATGCGATTTTTCATTCTTAACTATTGAATAATTTTGAACTATTTCGTGGTTCACATTTAAAAGGTTAAACAACAATATACAGCAGGTCCTTGAATAATCAGTTTGTTACAATGTTGATGTGCTGCTAGGAACTTAACTCCTGTTCCTATCAGCTAGCCTGTGGTAAAACTGGATTCGTTATACATCATTCCACTTAACGTTGAAAGTGAGGGCATTAAGTTAGCACTTACTGTATCTCCAAATTACTGCTATCTCTTAGCCACCAGATTCCCCTTCCTGGAAGAAACCACCATTCCTCACTTCTTGTGGGTCCTCCCCAAGCATGCACGTGTGACTAAGTGCATTAATACATTTACATAAACACACAAAAATACTCAGGTATGTTTATCTAGATATTCTCCTTTTTTGACACATAGTAGATAGTATACATTTTTTTAAAAAAGGTTTCCACTCTGCTGCACTTTGCCCATAACAATAGATCTCGAAGATTGCTTTATATCAGCACATAAAGTACCTAATGTGCCATTTTTAATACTTAGAGGGTCTTAAGTTTCATATTTTTGATAAATGTTTTATTTGGGAGCATGTAAAGGAACTAATTAAACAAGAAATGGAGTTGGGGCTAAGAATGAAATGTGAATTTTGTCTGCTTGCTGCTATCCCCCATGATTTAGCATTTTATAGCTAAAATAACAAGATAGCTTTGTTTTGGTGGGGCATGATAAGTAGGAACAAAGATATTCTGTTCCGGAAGTGGGCCTTCCCCTGCCTGGCAGTTACCACCCCCCCACACCCCCACCCCCGCTTGGGAAGGTTCGCGGAGAGACATCGGGAAGAACTGATGACTAAACCTAGGACTTCACATTTTGAGAGCATGTTCAATTACAAGGCATTTTGCTTGAGGTACTTGTTCCCAAAGAGTTGGCAGTTGTCTGATTGTGGCTAAAGAAGAGATGAGGTTCACTTGTCTCATAAACAGATGGCACAGCATGAATAGAAGAGGCAGATGTTAAAGTATTGTTTCACTCTCCAGTCCTTCCCAACAAACCATCACTGTTCCAGAGGGTGTTGGTGGTGTTGTTGTTGTTGTTGTTGTTGGTGGTGGTGGTGGTGGTGAATTCATGAAGGCATCCTGGCCTTTCCCTACCCTTCCAGCTGTGTCTAACACTGTTCACTGCTCTTCCTCCTCCCTGGACAATGGTAAATAGCTTAGAAGCTCAAAAATCTTGGTAGCAACACAGCTGTCAGGCATCAGAGCAGTGATTCAAAAGAAGGCCACCTGGGTGGAGGTGGCGGCAGGGTTATCTCTGGGTCTGCGTAGAGCCACAGCCAGCTGCTTCTGTGTCAGGCCCTGGCTCTCCCCAGGGGCCCTCAGTCAGGGACCCCTGCTCCCTGTGTTGTCTGGAAAGCAAGGACAGAGGCACAACGGTGGCCAGTTCCCAAGTTAGTTCTGCCATCTCCCTCTATGATGCTGTTATCACAAACTGCTACTGAAAATCCATCTATAGGCCCAACATCTTGAGGAATTTCCTAATCTACTGGGTAGACATACGTTGAAATCTCCCCTATCTTAAAACAAACTGTAGGTAGATAAAAATTTTCTTTAAACTCTCCCTATCCTACAAAAAAAAAAAAAAATCCTCCCTCAAGCCTGTTTATGCCTCGAGCTACTGCCCCAGCTCCCTCCGTCTATTCCCTGCTCAACCACGTGGAGAGTCATTCTCCATTCACTGTCTCAACTTTCTCTAGTCTGCTTTTGTCTCAGCCTGCCATTTGGATTCTGGATTTCACCACCTCCACTGAAACGTCTCTTCCAAGGGTCAGGCACATCCTCTGAGAGGCTTTTCTTAGACTTTCATTTAGAAGTATGACCACTTCTGGAATAAGACTATACTGACCATGCTGTCCTACCGGGAACTCTTTCTTGGCTTCCAAGGCCCCTCATTGCCCAGACTCTCCTCCTCCTTTCCAGGTGTGCTTCTCGGGTCCTCTCTTGCCTTATGCAGGAGGCGGTCTAGTCCCCTGCTCCTCTGACCTCTCCCGTGCTGTTGGTGAGCAGAGCCACTTCCTCAAGACGCGCTCTCCTCTTTGCACTCCTGGATCTTTCCTTTCTCCCTTGCATCCAGGTGGGTCTCCGGTGGACACCTCACACTCCTCACCTACCTCCTGGTTGTGGCCCCATTCCTTTGGCTTCCCTACACTCCCACTGGCTTGTTTTGGGCCACCATCGTCACCGACTTGGACGATGTTCATCTAACTGGTCTTTCTGCTTCTACTCATAGTTCTTCCAGTCCCTTCTCAACTCCGCATCCAGAATACTTTCCCTAGACTTCGTTGTGCTGCTTCTCTGCTTAGCACCCTGCAATATCTCCCCACTGCCATTGTATAAATCTTAACATTGTCAATATGGCAACAAGATCATGAAATCTGGGTCCCTACAAGCCTCTCTGGATTCATCTTTCTTTCATTCACTCTCCACTTCTGCCCCACAGTTCTGCTGAAGGACTTGTGTATTTCCGGGCCCAAGTGTTGTTTCTGGCCCCTTTAACTTAGCAGCTGCGTCACCCTTGGCGTGTCCATTGACCTCCCTGGGTCTCGGTTCCCACATCTGCAAAATTAGGATGATAAGAGCTGCCTCACTGGTTGTGGCAAGGGGAAAAGGGAAATAATAACTGTGCAGTGCTTACAGTAATATCTGGTACAGAACAAGTGATTGACAAATATCATCTGTTATTAAAGCCTTCCGCTGGCACTGTACGTGTGTGTGCATCTGTGTGTCTGTGTGCCCCCAAGCTTTTAGTCCCTCAAATACGGGGACGGGGTCTGCTTCTCTTTGCTGTCCTCTGCAGCCGCAGTAGCTGCTTGTTGAATTGGTCAGACTGAATTGAATGGACCCTGTTCCTCCTTCCACCATCTCCATCTATAAATACAGCCAGCTGTTAAGACTCAAATAGCCCTCTTCTCTCACTGGGCTGCATCACAACACGTTTAGTGGACCACCTGCCACATTCTCTCAGTGTCAAGCCAATCAGGAGGTCCCTCTTTGTCATTTGAAGCATCTTGGGTTATATTTGGCAAGTCAGCTGTGGTTACATCCATATTTCAATATAAATGGTCTTTAACGAGAATTTGCTCCAGATGTGATAGAGCTCGGTTTCCATCGCCCTTACTGGGTATTGGTTAAGAGTGTGTACTTCGGAGGCGAACTGAGGCTGAAGTTTGTGAATCCTGAGGACTCAGAAGGGCTCCTGGTGGCTAAATAGACTCAAATTAAAGGGAAAGAGCCTCACAGCCATTTCTGCACAGGGCCTCCCACACAAACTGCACTTCGCCTAGAAGCCTCTGCTCTAACGTGCCTGCCTCTGTGCTAAACCGCCCTCCTCTGCCCTGAACTGCCTGTGTTTCCATCACGTTTATGCCTTCAGAGCCAGCCCTTGCAAAGGAGTTCCTGGAATCAGCTCCAATAGGAGTTCCTATTTCAACCAGTGGGACTAACTAAGGCTTGTCCCATCCAATCAGAGCTGCTCTACTCTGACCAATCAGGACAGTGCCTTTGGACCAATCAAACTGAGGGTTCGGCATCCTTATTTGCATAAGGACGGACCAATCAGGGAGGAGGGATGGGGACTTCTGTCTATATAAATCAGCTCCCCCGCTAGATGGGGGAGCATACTTTCCACAGAAATGCGAGTAGTGGGTTTCTTGGTTCCAGACCAGGGCAGTGTGGTGCAGAGCAGAGTGGGGCATCACTGAGCAGACCGCCTCACAGCCATGCTGTAGCACTATTATTGAACTGTTCCAGAGCAGTGCTGTGTTCACCGCTATGCTATATTACCATTGAGATGATTGCACTAAGTAAAATTCCCTCCTTTACTGCACCCCAAACTGGGGGTTCCTGTTGGTGTTTGAATTGGCACCAATGACCATGGATTGATAGGTTCAAATCCAGACTCATCACCAGCTGAGTCCTGCATGGGGTTTTGGTCAGGCTGACTAATTTCCATGCCCCTATCTGATAATGGGAGGAGAAGTACAGGATGATGGTGAGAGCGCACTGGGCATTAGGAAAAGACAGAGCTTAGAGATGAACTCTGGGTCCTCAGGCAAGTTGCTTAACCTCTCTGTTCCTGGGCGTTCCCGTGTGTAAAAGAAGGATAAAAAGACAATGCACACTGCAAGGTTTTTGTTAGGTTTGATGAAATAACGCCAGCCTGGTAGGATTCAGCATGGACCCTGATTCATATTCAAGACCCAGGAAAGGTCAGTTTTGCTGCTGGTGTTAACAGTAGTGTAGTTGCCATTGTTATTGGTACTATTACTACTACCCCAGCTTCTGTTGGGTCCATGTGACTGTCTGCGGCCCTGCATCAGGTGCCTGTGCCAGGCCAAAGAGGCAAACAGTCACCACAGGCAAACTTAGGCAGGGCCTCTGAAAGCAGCTTTCTGGGAACACCGGCAAATTCTCCTCCCTCCATTTCTGGGAGACATGGCTGCGATCTGGGAACATCAGAAAAAGTGCAACCAAATGTCTCTTTGCCACACCTTCGCGCATCGCCCTGACGGTATCCTTCACCATCCACAGAAGAGTTAAGCCTTATCTTTGCTTTCCGAGAGGCAGCCACCCACAGAGGATCTGATCTCGTTAAGAAATAGGCGTCAGCTTGAACACTGCTGCGATTGCATCTCAAACCCATCAGCTGGTGAAAAGGGAGCTTGGATCAGAAGGTCTGAGCAAAACATTGAAAGGGAGATTACGAAGAATGGCGTTTATTGAAGGGTCAGAGCCATGAAAGCAGAACAGACCCAACAATTGGAGTGAAAATTGAAAGTAATTGATAAAGACTATGCAGAATTTAAGACTTCAGGAAAAGAGGCAAAGAAATGCTCTAAGTACCTAGATGAGGAAAACCACATATAGTAATGTCGAAGAGTTTTCTGTGAACTCACAGGGAATATTAATTCAATGCCCTAAGTCAATTCAGATAAAATAAGGATGAATTCAAAGCCATATACGCGTGTGCAGATATATACATATTCATGTCTCCGTGTGTATGTGTGGGTGTGTGCAGCCATCTCTGGCATATAAAGAGAACCAGAAGAACAATTCTGGTGTTCTGATTTCTCCTGTTGAAAAGAATTGAAACTTTGCTATTAAGGATATTTCTGCATCGTTTTAGCACAGCAGTGCCAAGAAAATCCCCCAAATCATGTAAAGACTAGTTTTGTTTCGTTTTTAAATATTCAGGTCAATGGAAAGTGACTAAAGTTTTAAATGACTGTGAAATCATTTCCCAATATGTTTAATTTTGTGTCAAGGAGGGGAAATATGTGCCCACGAGTATGTCTTTCCATTCATACAAAGTTTGATGTGCTGGTAAACAGTATAGTCTTTTCCAATACACATTCCAGAACTTACATATCAATGAGTCAGTCATAATGGCCACTTTGGAAAGCAACACCATTATTCTAGTGATTCTGCAATTACCAAGAGTTCTTTAGAAATGTCTGTTTTTTTTTCTAAATTCTCTCCATTAATAATTACAAGTCATGAGAAGAGAAAAACATTTATGTAATCAAGTGCATTTTTAAACATTTACTAGTCATTATGCTAGATATGAAGGATGAATCGGATATCAGTCTGAAATAGGCAAGGTCTAAGATGGCAGCTACTAGGCAGCTACTATTATTTTATTGACTCAAAGCAGCATCACCAAGCATCTTTATCCATGTTATTTTTTACACTTTGATTGTTTCCAAAACTCAGATCTGCCTTCAGAGAATCAAGGTGTGCTACCACTAAGGGTACTCAAAATTCAGTCATCTTCAGCAATGAGCAATTCTCACATAGAAACGCTGTAAGATGCCTGGATGGTGGTGGAATAATTGTTTAGCTTCTCTGAGGAACTGCCCTTTGGGAGAGGAGTCACTGCAATGGCAACATTTTAGTATTTTTTAAAAGTATTCACTTTACTTTTATGTGTATTTCAATAGAGAGAGTATGTGTGTGTGCATTCCATTTTTAGCAAATATCTTAAATCTTAAAACATTTTCTCCTAGTGCACTAGTGGGTGTCCCAAGTAGCCCGCTCACAGCCTTGGGAGCAGATGAGATGCTCATTAATCTGTCTGCTGCAATTTGCTCCCCTTTTCCAGAATCCTAGGGAATCGGGTGGCTGAACTGGAGAAAAAATTAAGAACTCTGGAAGTTTCTGGTTTGTGGAGTCTTCCAGGTAAGCAGAACTTCATAAAATTTGTTTTCCTTTTTTTTTCAAAGGAAGCACTCTTGTAATTTGCAAAGAAGATTCTACCTCTTCCATGTCCTTTTATTTGAAGACCACTGCTGAGAAGTGTTTTAAACTTAGCAACTCTCATTCTGGAGGGAAATCAGAAAATTAAAATAAATATGCAGGTTCTTGTCTGTGTAACTATGCAGTTTTACTAATGTAAATTCTGAAATTGTCATTGTGTGTGTCTGTATGTTTTTTTAAGATATGTGTTTTTTTAAAAAACTTCGGGAATATAGGAAATTGTTTCATTATCGTAACCCGTAGGTGTCTTATAAAGATTTTTTTTATCAATTGAATCCTCACCCCTACCAATGAAGGTAAGAATATACAGAGATTTGTTCAGTTTGATCATCGGCCCTAAAACTTAAAATCAGAAGAACAAGTGCTCCGACAAAAGGCACTTCACAGCCTCCCCCTGCTGCTCTCTACCCCCCGTCCCGCTTGTGATGTGGCTTAAAAATCAAAATCTCCCGTGTGGAGTCTTCCTCACAGTTGTGCACAAGAGAAAACCCCGATGCTTCACTTTAATTAGCTATATTTACTCTCTTGTCTTGAAGAAAAATGCCCCCTTCATGAGATGCAGGTCAGTCATGCCCCCTTTTTTCTTTACAGCTCCAGAAAAGTGGGCTTATCATTTCCCTCTGTGTCCTTTCCCCCTAGAACCAACATTGTACATATACTTCAGTTACTTACCCTTTCTGCGCCAACTGGTCTCCCAACTGGCCTCCTCTACCCTTGATTTGTATCTGTTACTTCCCTATAACGTACAGTGAATGAAAATTGCAGCAGGGATATGGACAACAGCACGTCTCTTAATGTAAATCTGCATCGCTGCCGTAGGTTGCCTGGAAGTGTGTTTCATAAATTGGAATTTTTAGCCGTGATTCTGAAGTGGAGGTCAAAAGACCTAACAGAACTAATTAGTGGCGAGTGCCATCCTGGGGATTTGAATGATCCATTTTGCACAAGAACCTTTTGATGCGGTTAAAACCTTATCTGCTTTGAAAGCCTTTCTTTTATTGCATTGAATTTCAACACAGTCAGGCAAATTTATCGTTTATTTGTCCAGTCAGATTGCTATTTCTGTGCATGTACTGAAGTTTTGATTTTTTTTCCTCCTCTCCAAATGACTTAGTGAAATTTCACAATGTTTTATTTCTACAACTTATGTAAAAAGCTGGAAGTTGAATAACAATGAATGCTGAGAATTTTCTGTCTTTGGTGATGTTGGGTCTAGTTTGGAATGGCTATTATGCAATAATAATTGTTTCTTTCCTTCCTTTTGCTGCCTGAAGGCCTGAGCTACAATGTTTCAGTAGGATTTGGGAGTATGTTCTATTTGAAATATCTGTGTTTGTGGCTAATATCAGTAGTGCATTAATATCATCCCTGCATGTAAATAAACAGAGATGCATTCTCTATGTATCCTTGTCCTTCCCTGGTTAGAACAGTTCATTGAAATCGAGAATTCAATTAGTACAAAACAAATATTAAATGGTAAAATTAGCTTTGAGGGACCCAGCTGAGTAGATTTTATGCCATGGCTTGTCTGTTCTAATCTCCAGCCTCCACATAGATGCAAAGTGGGAGGACAGGAAAAAGAGTGGCGATTGCTCGGTGGGATAGCACTGCCCTGGAACAGGGATGGAAGATGTTGCAATGAAGCATCGTCTCATGCTCACTCTCGAAGCCTCCTGGGGAGAGTGAGGGAGTAGGCCCCTTCCGGTGCAACACTGGTCCCTTCTGTCTGCTCATTGTTTTACGGCTCCATTCTGTCTGCTCATTGTTTTACGGCTCCATCAAAGAGCTGAATGGCAGAGCAAGAGGCAGTATGTTCTTTTCCTCCTCCTCTTCTCCTCTTCCCACTTTTTCCTCCTTCCACTTCCTCCTCCTCTTCCTCTCCCTTTCCCCAAATAGGAGGCACATTACAGTGTTTTCAGCCAACTGGAGGAAACTAGGTCCCCAGGGTTCCAGAGAACTGCTAGCTCTCCCTTATCTACCAGCATCTTGAAAGCATCAGTGTCTCCTCCAATCAACCAGCCCATCAGTGTGTTTGATCCCTTTTCGAGCACCACCTCAGTGGATGTAGTTCTGCACCAGGTGTTCTAAGACATGCCCCTTGCCTGCTCTAGGCACCCACTTTCCCATTAGGGAAGCAAGATGAGTATACACCAGGCAGTGAGAGGAAAGCGGAAGAGACTATGTGCTTAAGGGCTGAGTGATTACGACCCCCGTGTGGCAGGTGTCGGCCAAGGCCGGACCTGGAAGGGCACTTGAGAGCAAAACGTTCAAGGATGACGAGCACGTGGCATATAACACGCACCCCCATGACAGCGGCGGACACTGCACGTCAGTCACACGGCTCTTCTTCGATGGCCTCACGTGTGGCCCCCAGAGCGGTCTTCCACTGGGTGGCTTTCCAGAAAGCTGCCTCCTGCTCAGAGTGGACCTGTGGGAGAAAACACTTTCCTCTTTCCCAATCCAGTCTGGCTCCCTTGTTTGAGGTAAGGAAGTTTCCTTAGGAAGCCCGGGAAGTTAGGGGATACCTGAGACCACAGTGGCTGGTACGAGAACCCAGGTGTTCAGATCTTCCTTTCGGTGGTCCCCTGTGCCAGTGAGCTGCAGCTTGGAGAAGAGGCGATGGGTAGATCAGATCCTCTGGGGAATGGCTCACAAAGCCAGCTGGATTGGAGAAGAGGACGTCAGAAGCCAGAACAGTCTCTTCTGAGACACGAAAGGACAGTGGCGAAGGAGCCCACCCCTCATGGCTACGCAGGAGTACTTACTGCTGGGCGCTGGACGTGCTATGACTCTCTTTGCCTCTCTCCTCCCCCCCTCCTCACTCTCTCAGCCGACAGCATCTAGCTCTTGATGCTGTTTGGCAGACTTGGGGCAACCCGGCGAACTTGCTGGGGAGTAGACAAGCTTGACAAATGTCACAGCCTGTGGGGAAATCGTCTGGACAGCAGAGCATAGTCCACGCTTTGAACCAGTCCCTGGGAGGTAGAAAAGGTATGGGGCTATTGTGGGGAAACCAGACGGACAGTGGGCCGGCCCGAGGGACCACACCCCTTGGGTAGGGGTGACCCCCCCCACCCCCAGCCCCTGCCGGCCAGCCTCCTTCTCCCAGCCCTTTGCCGGCCTCTGCACGGAGGACAGGGCTTGGGGAGCGCCAGGAGGAGGAGGTGTCCTGGACGTGCTCGTGCTCTGAAGAGAAACCCTAAACGCCAGGCCAAGTCGGGTGAGAGCAGAGCCTGGCTCTTCAGGGTTTTCGTTTTCATTCTCTCCTCTCTGCCTGAAGCACCAGTCTGAGGAGGAAAATGTGCATTTTGAAAGTTCTTGGTTCGTTTCAGAGAAGGAGTGAGGGGTGTTGTGTTAGAAAGAGTCAGCGGGGCTTCCAGAAGCCGACACCGGCTGAGTGGGTGGAGGGCCGGGGTGACCTTCGACCTTAGTTGAGGTTTGACCCTACTTTGTGGGTCACCCTTGCCCCGCTCCTCATCCTCCAGTCCGACAACCCACAGCGAAACTGTGGCACGGCAGCAGCCCATTGGATCAGAGCTCAGGTCAGCCAGTGTAAGTAGAACCTGGACTGAGTTAGAAACCATCCAGCTGGGGCCCTTCCAAGAGAGACCTTTGAACCCTGTAAATATTTTGCAAGGATGACCACATCTTGGCATGTTGCCTTAAGATGAGGAGACGCTCTCCTCAGGCGGGTACTCGGGGAGGTATGTCTCTTCTCCCCACTCCCTGCCTTGATCGGACATGAAGGAGTGGCGGCTGCTGTCTCCCTCCCCTGTGTGCCTGCTTCCCGGGGTCTTGGGGGGGTTTGATGTTGCTGGCTCCAGTGCCGTTTGGGGGGCTTTATGGGCTGGGTGATGCCCTGTGCGTTGAGAGGGCCACAGGCGGTCCACCCTGGAGAATTCCTCATGGCAGGACAGGCTTGGGATCTCAGCCAGCTTCCAGTTCTGCCCATAATTCTGATTCTTTGGCCACCAGGGCCTGGGGGACTTGGAAAGCTGGTTGTTCACAGAGGGGCAGGGTGTGTCTCTTACTGAGTCCCCTTAAAGCCAGAGAGCTGCCAGCCTACCTGCTAGAAAAAAGGTGGGTCAAGAGATGCTTTTCTTTCCCCACCTGGAGGGCAGTAGCTGTTGCCTGTGGCGAGAAACAGAGAGAAGTCCATCCTGAGGCGTCTGCTGTGGGTTCAGAGTGACCATTAAGCCCTCCAGGTGTTTCCAGGTGGTCCCTTTGCAGCTCCGAGGGGAGACCCGATTGTGTTGACTTCACTCCAAGAATCTCTCAACAATATCCCAATGGTTCCCTTTGGGAAGCCTCCCCAGCCTACGAACAGGAAGATTTCTGGGGTTTTGCCGTGTGTGAGGAGTAGCCGTGTTGGTGGGGAACGAGAGGGTCGGCTCCTATTGGATTTCTGTCCTTCTGGGAAGACCCTCCGAGAGCCGAGAAACCGGAGTGCCACGGCTGCTAATAACACACGCCATCTGCCTGGGGCCGCGGCCCGCAAGACATCAGGATTCCCGAGGATGCATCTGCCATTTATTCACACGTTTATCAGATGATTATGGAGCACCTACCACGTGCAAACTCTCTACTGCAGTCTCGGGAATCAAGTTAATAAGATATGGCCAAACGGGAGGATGGTGCCATAAACAAACTGAGGACTCAGACCTAGAGTCCAGGTTCACCGAAGGAGTGAACGTCTTCCCACGAATACTGCTCTGTGCGCTGTGGAGCCTGAAACTAAGGTCACAGAACTTTAGAGCCTCTGCCTTGAGCCCCATTGAATGGCTTGGCTTCAGAAAGGGTCTTGAGCCAAGCTGGACAGCTAGGGCTGGAGGGCAGGCTGGGACGTGGCCCCTGGGGTTTGGGGTTCACCACAGCGGTTCCCACCAAGAGGGTTCACCAGGGGAATGCCGAGGCCTCGTGGAGCGAAGTCCGGGATCCAGTCCTGCCTGCTGGGCCCTTTGGGCTGCTGCGGCAGCCGCCCTTCATGTCTGTGTGTTTCGAGTCTGTGTTCGCAGAGCTCCGGTTTCAAAGCCATGCTTCCCCGCTCCTCACCTCCATCACTCGCCACGGCCTTCAAAGTGGAGTCCTAACGCTTTTCCTTCTCTCCTTCTCTCTGCCTCGTATGCTCTCTATCTGCTTAGGGAGTTCATGCAATTAGATCAAAGGTTTGGGCTGCTCTGGGACTCTCCGTTCTAAGTGAAAGTTTAGCTGTGATCATTTGAGGGACCTGATACTACCTGACTTACCACAGAGTTATTATTCACTCTTAATGACCAGATCAAATTAAATCGGATATAGTGTATGTGACAGTGCTGTGGAAGGTGCCTTGTAAAGTAGTGATTTCAGTAGGAGCCATTTATTGAGTGCTGACTCAATGCCTAACATCAAAACCACCCAGTGAGGTGCGTGCTGTTATTTGTTCTCATTTAACAGGCAAGGGCCCTGTGGCTCAGACAGGTTAAGTGACTTGCCTAGAGTCACCCAGCTAGGAAGGGACAGAGTCCAGAACACAAACATTGCAGTGCGGCTCTAAAGCCTGTGCACCCAAGCACCCTGCTGGTATTTGTAGTGTTACTGTGTCACCCTCATCAATGCCACCCCGTGTTTGGCTGACATACAGGCTGCCCCTTACTGGTGGTGCATTTGTGGGCAGCCATATCCTAAGCAGACTCTCAGGGCACATAGACAGCCATTACCTGTCCTCATGTCACAGAAAGGGCCTGCTGGCCATTGCCCTTCCACAGTGTTACCTGTGACTGAAGAAGGTGCGTGTCTGCCAGCCAGTCCATTGCGTGGGGGTGAAGGCACTATAGCAGCAACCCCATTGAGACCCTAACATGTCCATTTTCCCCTTTTCCACAACAGGGGGCAAGGACACCATACTGTTCAGCGACCCCACCCTCCCCACCACGCAGAGGTCCAGATCCCCGTTGCTGAAGCTGGTTGAGCAGCCCGCTGAGCACCAAGCAAACCCCAAGGATGGTAAGCACACCTTGATTTCTCGTCTTTGCTTGGCTTGTGCCTGGCACAGAGGAGGGCTCAGTGCACATCAGTCCTTGCCCTTCTCACAGCTTTGGGGCACTGTTGGGTTGCTCCTGGTGTTCCTCAGTTACTTCTTTCTTGGTGCTTACGTGGGCTCGTTGTGTCTGGAGCTTCCAGAGGAAGAACACAGGCCCCTGCACGCTGTGCACAGTGAGTTCAGAGACTATTAACAGTGGCTCAGAGGTGAAGGGTGAGGCCTTTTTAAAAAAGATTTTATTTAATTATTTTTAGAGAGGGGAGGGAGGGAGAGAGAGAGAGAGAGAAACATCAATGTGCAGTTGCTGGAGGTCATGGCCTGCAACCCAGGCATGTACCCTGACTGGGAATTGAACCTGTGACACTTTGGTTCCCAGCCCACGCTCAATCCACTGAGCTACGCCAGCCAGGGCTAGAGTGAGGCCTTTTTTTGGACAACTTGGGTTCGTATTCCAGCCCCATGTCACACTGGCTGTGAGGACTTGGGCTAGTAGCGTCAGCCTCTGTTTTCTTACCTATAAGTGACGGTGCCAACCTCAGAAAATTCCTGGCACGTCACCTGGCACATGGTAAGTGGCCTGGGGATCAGTTGCATGGGGAAAAAGTCCTCTGCTCTACCAGGCACACTTTCTGGATGCCGAGTGTTCTGAAGGGGACCATTTAGGGAGCAGGTGAGCCAGCAGGTGTGAGAGCCAGATCTCTTCCCAGGTGGCAGTCTTGCCTCTCCAACTAAACTGCCCTTCGCATCTTTCTCAGTTTGGCTCATCTTCTTCCTCCATCCCTGGTGTGGTTGCCAGCTTCCAAAAGGCTCCACATGACCCCCTCCTCCTGCCACTCAGGTCCTTGTGTAGTCAGTCCTCTGCTGCACTGTGTCCAGGGTGATCTGTGTAACTACACAACACAGCAGAAGTGACAGTATGTGACTCCCAAGGCTAGGTCATAAAAGACATGTGGCGTGTGCTTTGCTCTTTCTGTTTCGGATCATTCACTCTGGAGGAAGCTGGCTGCCATATTATGAGGACACTCAAGCAGCCCTACGTGCATTTGTGTGGTGTGGAGCTGAGGCCTCCAGCCATTGGCCGAGTGAGGGAGCCATCTGGGAGGCAGGTTCTCCAGCCCCAGCCAAGCCGTCAGCTCAGGAGAGACCATTAACCAGAACCACTCAGATACACTGCACCCAGGCTCCTGAGTCTTAATGCTGCTAAGTTTTGAGGTCATATGTTACACAGCAGTACATGACTAATACGCCCTGCATGTGGGTGTCAAGGACCTTTCCTTGAACATCTACATTTTTCTCTCCATCTTCTCTTGCTGCAGAGTCATGCCTTCAACCATCACCTCCATGAAAACATTCTCGCGATATTTTCCCCCACTGGGTCCATCTGCAGAGTTGCAGTCCCACATTTCCCCCAGTTCAAACTTTCCTACCCAGGTACCCTATGGACTTCTCAAGAATGACACCAGCAACTCTTCCTGCCTTGTCCCCTCGTCGCCACGCTCCCAGCTACCCAGGCTCCACACCTTCGAGTCATCACGAGCACGGCCAACTTTCCTTCCCCTCCCCTTCCGCTTGTGGTTTCCAGCCCAGCCCTTTCCTTAGAGCTCCTTGTACCTCTGCTCCTACCACCGCTGACTCAGCACGGGCCCCGCTCTAGCTCCTCGGCAGGGCTCTTGTCCTCTCCTGACCTCATTCCCATCTTCACCCTGCTGCTTTAATGTGAAGCCCCTGGAGCTGTACCCACCTCTTTGTACCCGCTCCAGACTCTGCCGTGGCTGCTTGAACTCACGGCTCTGCGGCCTTGTCTAGCCTGCCTTTCTAACCTTACGGTCCTCTGGCATGAAAACTGTGCTTGATCAAAACACAAAACTGTGCTAATCAGCTCAATCAGTTAGCTATTTTTGTATAACAGACCACTGCAAGAGTTAGAACTTAGAGCAACAACGAGGCCAAAAGGGCTATTTATCACAGGCCTTTGGGTCAGATGGGTGGGTCTGCTAATCTGAGCCGAGCTGGACAAGCTCGCTCACACCTCAGCACAGCTGTATTTTGGAGCCTGTGCTGATCACTCATCGTAGTGCTGGAACGGTAAGAATAGAAGTGAGGACAGGTCTGGGTTTCAACAGAGAGGTTCCCCCGGCACATGCAGGGAGACTTCCTGGAGCGCCCCCCGGGACTTGGACGGGTCACACACTGGCCAGAAGACAAGGCCGGGTCTTCCCAGCCAGCAGCATGTGGCTATTTGCGAGGCTGGTCTGTAACACAGCATGGCCCGCTGTGCATTCTGGAACATGTCTTGGCCAGTGGTCATCCCGCGCCAGCATCCAGTGTCTGCGTGCAGAGCCAAGCCCCCGTCTGCTCTGGGCTTGCTGAGCCCCCAGGTGGGCCTGGGCCTGCTACGCAGACGTGGAGCATGAGCCTGGCTTGATTTTCACAGGAGTGGCATAAGTGATGGCCTGATTCAAATGAGAGCTTCCAGGATTCCATCATTAGCTCTCATTGTTCCAGCCCCGGCCCTCGGCAGCACAGGCAGGAACAAGGAAGCATTTATGTAGCTGCGATCGGCGTTGGGGCTGGCCTGCCTCCTCACCACTCTCTGATTAACTCCAACGGGAAGCAGCTCACACTGGGGGGGACAAAGCCCATCAGGGATCAGTTAACAAAAGAAGACGGATGTCCCCCTTGGGCCAGTGGGAGGGGAGGGGGCACATTTTTAGGTAACCAGCAATCTATCCTTCAAAGAGCTCCTGTTTCTTCATTGTCTTTGGGAGAAACTATTTTTTCTCTCCCCACTATTTATGTCATAATGCATTTGTATCAGTTGATTGCCTCATCATTATTAATATGGGTGTTGTTATTAATAACTATTAATGATACTAATTCTGTTTGCCAAAACAGCACGGGATAATTACTGTTATTTATAATAATATTTTCCAACTCCAGGCAAGTTCAGAAATCTTGCTTTTATGAAAATGGCAATGCTGTGTGTCTGTTCTCGCAGGGAAGATGAAACTTCCACAGCTTAAGAGTTAGTGTTCCAGAATCGCAGAATTACAGGAAGATTTTGCGCTCACTGCAGGGAACCAGAGGCCCTAGTTTTGGTTCGACAGTCACGGCATCTTCAGTAACTTTGTTGGGTCTCCTGGTAATGACTTCAGTATATTTCTTAGACACCTGTTGGGTAAACAAAGGGGAGGAGTGTTTTGGTAAACCTGCCATGGACCCATGAGCTAGTCCTGGAGCCAGGCCTCTATATCTTTAAGGCCCTGGGGCTCTGAAAAGCTGGCCTTCATCAGAAAGTCACCCCTGGCAGAAGTAAACAGTAGAATTTCAGCTTCTCCCATTCCCTTTGCAGCTGTGCTTTGACCTCTAATGACCACTGCAGTTTTGCTCCCCTCCCCACACCCCAAAATCAAAGTTTCAAAGCTCTCCCTGCTAATCTCAGAGGCCTGCCATTTTTAGAAAGATTCTCACATTTGATTATGTGCAGACTGCCACCTAAAGAAATAACGCAAGGCCTGCCCTGGCTGGTGTGGCTCAGTGGATTGAGCGCAGGACTGTGAACCAAAGGGTCGCTGGTTCGATTCCCAGTCAGGGCACATGCCTGGGTATTGGGCCAGGTCCCCGGTAGGGGGCACATGAGAGGCAACCACACATTGGTGTTTCTTTCCCTCTCTTTCTCCCTCCCTTCTGCTCTCTAAAAATAAAATCTTAAAAAAAAAATAAAAAAGAAGTGGCACAAGGCAAACTGCCAATGGCCAGAAGTCCCCAGTCTAATTAGACCACCCTCACTCAAATGTAAATGAAGGTGGAGAAGATTAACCTGACCCACAGTAAAAACACCATAAATGCTTTAGGGATTAGGTTGTTACTGGTAAGGTTAATTAATTGTTCGGGGCCACCCGAATACACTGTTAAGTGTCCTGGAAGAAATAACGTCATAAGAGTAATTTCCAGACGGAGTTTATTCATCTCACGCGGGTAAAAAATTTCGCTGCAGAAAAGACCATCATTTACTCCTCCTGAATACAGCTTCTCGCTCCAGTCTGGAAGCTTCGTCATGTTGACTCAGTGTTGCCCATGCTCCCTGTGCAACCGCTATAAAAATTCCACTTGTTACTGTGAAAATTCTGTGACTGCTTCCCTTAGCACCTCAGAAGTAGCTACATGTTTGTGTGAGTTAGAAATGTCTTTCTCATCTTTTTTTTGAAAGTGCCATTTGTAAGAACTTTTAGGGTAGCAACTTGAATACAGCCTGGAAAGAGTACCATAAATTCAAGGATTGTTTTATTTATTAATACATAGTATTTAAATAGATGAATATATTCATTTATTCATGAATTAATGCATATATCCATAGATTCAGACATTTAATAAGCTATTGATTGAGCCCCTCCTATAGAACATTGGCAGAGTTAAAAAATTAATCTGCTACGGTCTTATACTTCAGCTGGTTTTTATAAGCTAACTCTATATAGGTAATCATTTAAGGATAAAAAGAAATACTGTGTTCCCTTGGAGGTCCAGACACAGCCTTGGGATTAGGACGCTGGAGAGACTACTTCTGGCCAGAGTTAATCAGGTCGGCTTCATGGAGGAGGTGGAGGTGGTGCTGACTGTTGAAGTTGGGCATCTGGATACAAAAAGGAATGATGGTCACAGAGGGCAGGGCTGGGATGCCGTTGAGGTTTGGTGTGGCTGGAGTCTAGGGGTATAAGGAGAAGAGCTGGGGTGTCAAGTAGAAAGGTCATGGATGTTGTTGGGTCGTTCAAGTTCTTGAATGCCAGGCTGAGCGAGGGCTTGGGCTTTGTTCCTGTGGCAGTGGCAGACTCGAAGGCCTTATAGCTGGGGGAGGGCACAGTCGGATTTGTGTTTTAAGCTCGCAGGGCTTCTCAGACTGTAATGTGCACCCAGATTGCCCCCAATCTTGTTACAGATGCAGATTCCAAACCAGTAGGTCTGGGGT